AGGTGGTTGTGGCCCACTGTGCCTGTGAGGGGAGGCGAGCGGCGGCCAGTAATGCCCTGGGAAACTCCTCTGGGGGACGATTATGGAGCTGGAAGCACCCTCTTGGGAGGAGTACCGAGGAGCCAGAGGGAAGCAGAGAGGCAAAAGAGCTTTATGGGATATCGGAATTATTCGGATAAGGATTAGGACCTGTTAATTCCACTGGTGTTATAGGGGTTGTTATGAAGATGTTAACAAAATAAAGCTGAAAACACTATTAGCACAATACTGAGTGATCAATAAGGAAGTCAAAGGCACCCATTATGACCATCAGATGAGGAAATCAGAAGCAAGGAGAAAATGGTGTTATGGATAACCTGGATGCTTCCCAAGCCAAAAAAAAGCCTAAAATGAAAGAGAAGCCTAAATGGAGGACAGCTGAGGAAGGATTTAAATAGACTTTCGAATGAATTCTCTAAATCTACATGAATCAAGAAGAAAAGATCCTACCAAATGGAGATATTGATGAATATGAAAAAAAGTCAAAGCGAGTATCTATCCTGTAGATAGGTTCTAGCCATAAATCAGGTGGATAATAAACCTTGGAGTTTCGAGACTTTAACGCACGCTGAACAGAAAGAGGAGCCTTCTCCAATTCTATCCGTATTTCTGAAGAAACTATAAAGCTTCCTGACGCAAGGTCGAGGTAAACACTAATCTCTTTTCCCATTCAAGTTAAGACCTTTGCGTCCTGTATATAGAAGGGAAAAGATTTAAATAGCTCAAGCACGGACAGAACAGGAAAGAACGATTCCTCTTTTGCCATCCCCTTGATGAAAGGACTCCAAAGAAATCAAGAAACGAAGTAAAAAAAGCCGGTTCACCAAAGGCTACTTGTATTTGTCCCCAACAAAGGCGAATTGGCAACCAAGTAGCCAAAGACTTCAAAGAATTTACTAGGTGAAACTCAGCGTGCGCTTGTTTTTATGGTGGACATCATATCAAAGCCAAATTAAATCATATTCGAAATGGTATTGACATCTGGTTGGCGACCCCTGGGTGCTATCCAAATGACCATCTGCATGGGAGTGGGCCGATTGGCATCCTTTCTAAACTGCGCCACGTTAGCTGCTTGGATGAAAGTGCGATTCATGATGTTAGATTGAGGTTTTGCCGACAAATTGAAGAAAAAGGATTATTATTCACGAATCTACAAAACTGATTTCTGAAGACAGATCCTCAGACTTTACTGTATTTTCTCGCAACTATAGCCCACACGTGGGATATACAAAGTTGCAAAAAAAAATACCAATGAAATCCAAGATGATGAACAGGTTGACCTTGTTGAAAAATGACTCAAAAAGGCGTGCAAAACTACTGTGGACTTTTGGCAATCCAGATGTCATATGGTCTCAGAGAGCCAGCAGGCAGTTATTGGGATGTTCCTTCAAAGATCTACAGTGCGTGGGTCTGAAGGTGAGGGGCATATATTTTCCTTGCAAGCAGAGCCAAGAGGAGAATGTAACTGGAAATGGCTATGAATCCACACATAAAACAGAATGGCCCAGTGTTTACATGGGAACATTGCCGACAAAACCACAAAGAGAAATTACAACTGAAAGCTTCAGGGGAAGTAGATTTTAAAGTTTATAGGCAACCAATGTGGCTGCCCGTGGTTGGGACATTCCTGAGGTTGACTGAGATTGATCCAAAGTTACTCCTCCTCACGGCATGTTGAGTACCCTATAAGTCACACCGCTCTGGACGCACAAGGTAGAGCTGGCCGGACAGACGGAGGTCTGTTATGATGTTTTTATCAAACCACAGAGAAAGAGAGTCAACTAAGAGGATATTGTGGAACAAAAAGAGCAAGGAAATTAACTTTTAAACGTGTAGGTGTTCCTAAGGTCTACAATGGATTTAGTTAAATCTAAAAGCATGGATGCCATCAGGTCTCTGGCTTCTGTTTCTTATGCTGCTGTTGATTTTTTCCGACCATCAGCTCAGAGACTGATAGAAGAGAAAGGGGCAGTGGATGCGTTGGCTGCAGCATTAGCCCACATTTCTGGTGCATCGAACTTTGAACCACGATCTTTAATCACCTCTGATAAGGGGTTTGTGACCATGACTCTGGAAAGCCTAGAGGAAATACAGGATGTCAGCTGTGCTTGGAAAGAACTTAACAGAAAGCTGAGTAGTAATGCTGTGTCCCAGATTACCAGAATGTGCCTCCTAAAAGGAAATATGGGTGTTTGCTTTGATGTTCCCACAGCTGAGTCAGAAAGGTTACAGGCAGAGTGGCATGATTCAGACTGGATGCTCTCAGTGCCGTCCAAACTGCCTGAATATTATGATGGAAACACATCTAATTCCAGACAGAGGAGTGGTTGGTCAAGTGGACGGTCGGGCCGGTCGGGCTGGTCAGGTGGTTTATCTGGTGGCCGGTCAGGTAGACAGAGTCGACAGGGGAGTCGCTCAGGAAGTCGACAAGATGGTAGAAGACGAAGTGGGAATAGAAATCGATCAAGAAGCGGAGGCCACAAACGGAATTTTGATTGAGTATTGGATAGTTAATCTACCAGCGTGGGCTTACCTATTTCTGCCTAATCATGTACATTATCCACCAAAAATTAGGTCATCATAGTTGAGGTATGTGTATGCTATTTGCAAAGAAGTTGGTCGTATTTTTTTAAAAAGTATTTCAGAAGAATGGTTGTAAACAAATCTACTTATCCAGTTATACCTTTGAATAAAAAAAACCTCCTTTTATTGTCTCTTTAAAAAAAAAAAACTTAAATTGTATGTAAAATCAGGTTTCTGGCTATGTACACACGGCTACAAGACAAATGCCTCGGGCCCCAATGTTAGCCAATTTGCCACACACAGGCCATTTCTTGTGAAATTCTGGATGAGACATGGCATGAGGAATTAGGAGATAGGCAAAGGGGGGCTGCTTTAATCAGGTTTCCTAAAAGCAGAGTGTGAGACAGGAAATCTTGTAGAAGTGATTAATTGAGAGAATGCTCATAGCAGGAACCTATTAATATGACGAGTGAGGAAATCAGGAAAGGGCATTGGAAGAAAGTCATCTCTGTCTGGTGCCCTGGGTCCTCTGGGGGATTCGTGGCACTACAGAGCTGCTCCAACTTGAGGGGAGAGGCTGGGTCTTCTCTATCAGTCCGCCTTCGACTGCAGATCAGCACCGAGGAGAGGCATCAGCCCCAGGCACTTCCAGAAGACATTCCCACAGCCGGGGTCCATTCTCCACCCAATGGTGGAGTGAGGTCTTTTGGGTGGGGACCCTGTCCTTGGGGCCTGGGATCCTGGAGTATGGCCTTTTGACTGAATCCAAATGTTGCAGAACAAATCCTTTTCATAAAGAAAGGGGACTATTGGGAAGGCATGACTGCGTTTTCTTATGTGACAAGAATGGTGCAGGGTGCCCACCATTCCTGTGTTGGTCTCTTTTAAACAATCAGATCTCACGGCAATAAAAGAGCAAGAATACACTTGTTACCCTGAGGGTGGCATCAAAGCATTCACCAGGGATCTGCCCCCATGATCCAAACACCTCCCACCAGGTCCTATGTCCAATATCTGGGTTCAAATTTCAACATGAGACTTGGAGGGGACAGACATCCAAACCAACCATAGCATTCCACTCCTGGTCCCCAAATCTCATTTCCTTCTCATGAAAAATACAACTACCCCTTCCCAATAGTTCCCAGAAGTCCTAACTCCCTCCAGAAACCTCAAAAGTTCAAATTCCAACGTCTCATCTGAGACTCAAAGCAAGTTCCTTACAGATGTGAGCCTGTAAAATCAAAAACAAATTATATATTTCGAACACACACACACACACACACACACACACACAGACACACAAAGGCATGCACATACAGGCACACACCCTTCACACACACACACATTCTTCTTACCTGATCTAGGGTAACCCACTATGATGACATCATCGTCTTTCACCAGAAATTCATCCCGGGCAAAGCACACATTCTCTAGAGGTGTAAGATGTGAATCCATCCATATCCCCTCAAACAGGAATTTACTGGTCATCTTGAAACAGTTTTGCAGTGAAGCATCCAGGGCTGACAAATCCACAGTCTGATACTGGACGCAACAGCCCCTTAAATCAGGCAGAGATAAAAGCCAAACTCCCTCACTAATGTAGTTACTAATGCAGAACAAACCACAGTTCTCTGAAGGTCTAGGACAGCAGGTCTTATTCAATAGTCTGGATTGAAGACAGTGTACCTTGACAGAGAGTCAAAATTCGGACTTATTAGATAAGTGAAACATCAAAAGATCAGAAAATTGAACACCACGTTTCTTCCCTGTCACATTGGAACTAACCGATCAGCACTCACATGCACAGATGGAAGTAAAACACAAAAGAAATCTTGCAGGTAGGACGGGGAGAAAGAATGGGTAAAATCACACCTGATGGGTACAATGTCCACTATCTGGGTGATGGGCATGCTTATAACTTTAACTCAAGCAGTAGAAAAGCAGTCCATGTAACCAGAACATGGGTACCCCCATGATATTCTGAAATTAAAAAGAAAATTTGGAATTAGACCTGAATAACCCTTGAAAAATCGGGAGAATGTGACATCCAGACTAGTAAGCAGGAGGGTAGAGAATGAGACCAAAGACAGGAAATAGCAGCTTGTGGAAAGAAGTCACTGAGTGTTTTCCATTGGAAGAAAATGAGTGTTCACGGGCAGAGGGGCTCCCTAGGGTCCTTCTTCAGGCCAGTGGCTCTGGCAGAGCCTCACTGATTTCCTGTCTCTCAGGCTTCAGTATCCTTACAGTCTTGTTTTAGCAAATCCCCCATGGGAGGACACTCTGGTACAATAGGAGTAGAGTCACTTTGAAGTGGCTAATGCTTGTCTCACCTAAAAAGTGTCCTGGGACTTCTGCCTTCTCTCTGGGAATGTACAGAACTAGAATGAGCTTTGCTGCTTTATTTACAAGAAAAAGGGTGGCATAACTTGGAATTCTGATCTTTTTTGGAACTGTCAGAGAACTGGAGTTGCAGTGAAAACAACCTAAAAGCCAAGTACAGACACTGTCTGCAAGGAAAGGGAATGTGAATATCCACTCACCTGGGTCAACACAATAAGATAACTCTTAGAAGACTTCATCTAGAATAGCTTCCAAACCAGTGAAGACATATCACAGGCTGCTAGGACAGTGAAAAATCTGGGGACTGCAGAAATTAGTGAAATCTTCACCCTATTTCAGGCTCCTCCTTCAAGAATCCCACCAGACACTCACATAAAATGTTTAAAAGAGTCCTAAAAAGTGTTCCTTATGGTGCAACCAAGGGAACATGAATAGCTTGATCAAGGTGTACTCTTGGAAGGCTCAGGTGTATAGACCCATTTGGATGGAGATCTGATCTGGGAGATCCAGATATTCAGGAAAAGTTGGGTGGAGAGCTACTCTTGGAAGACTCAGGTGTGCAGACATGGTTGGATGGGGATCTAATCTTGGAAGATCTAGGTGTACAGTCACAGGTGGAGGACTCAGCACTGCTCCTCATTCAGAGTGTACCGCATCAGCCTCAGGTTTCTCCACAATGGGCTTGGCCAAGCTAAAGGGCTTTGACAAGGGGACAGTGGCTGCTCGCAGCATCTTTTAAGGGAACGTTATCTTCCCAGGGACAGTTGTCCCAGCTTTGCACCTGTGCAGGAACTAGCAACTGTACCTGTGCTCAGGAGAGAAACACAGGACTGGACTGGAGGGGCATTTATTTTCTTTCATTTTTCTTTGGATTTGCTACTCAAATCAGAAACTCTGTTTTGCCACAGAAGAATCAAATTCTCCTCTAATTCCACAGAAGATAAAACACTGTGATCTGTGTGAGGAAGGGCAACACTACTGGACTCAGTCATTGGTTAACATTCATTGATTAAACAAAAACTTAAAAAATTTATGGCTATCAGATATACCATAAGATATTCTATAGCAAGTTTTTCAAGCAGGAAGAATATGATAGGATGAAACCTGGATTTTACAAAGGAACAAAGAACATTGGAAATGGAATATATTCATTGCTTTTACTTATTTTTGATCATTCTAAAAGATCATTAACTGCCTAAAGCAAAATAAGCAAAATATTGTAAGTTTATAGCATATATAAAAGTCAAGATTATGAGAATAATAGCAAAAAGAATGAGACAGAAAAAAGGATCGGGGATATGTTATTGAAATGACTCATGTACATGAAAAACAGCATAATATTATTTGGAAGTGTAGTCATTAATGAATTAAAAGTGACCACTAAATATTTTAAAGAGGTATAAATAATAAATTTCTAGATGAGATATAATACAGTTAGATAAAATGCTCATTTATTATAAAAGAGGACAAAAAAAGAGAAATAAAGAAAAAAATGGAACATCCATTTAAATCAGGTCAAAAAAAAGAAAAAAGTAGCAAATGAAAAACAGCAAGGGATATATTGTGATTCAACTATATCTGTTATTAATTTAAATGAGAGGTCTAAACAGAATAATTAAAAGACAGGGATTGCCACATGGTTTAAAATGCAGGATTAAACTGTGTGCTGTCTGCAATAATTCACATTAAAGATACAGATAAGTTAACATTACTGAGAAAACATTTTCTTGCTTATAGGACCAGTTACTATTTTAGTATTATAATGCACTAGGGATTAATATTGGTCATATTTTCAGCGTTGTGTGCAGGCTCAGTTGGTCCTTGGGCACAATCTATTGTTGGGTATCACTTATCTTCTTTGGACTAACAAGTGTTGTAAGACTGTTATTATGGCCTGGCTGCAAGGACGATTCCCCATTTTGGGCAAAGAAACCAAAGAATGCACTAATGTAACAAGGTTACAAAGTTTTGGTCATCAAATCTTACTGAGGTCTCTCTATCTATTTTCTGCATCCTTTGAAAGTGCAGTTGCTAAGCTGCCAGTGCTGAGATAAAACTCACTCTTACGGTAGCGCTGCCAGATCAAGGCCACTTAGAGCAGCCAGCTCTCGCCACAGTGTGAACACTGAAAACTCATTCGAAACATAAGGGAACTAAAAACACTATTAAGAAAACATTTTCTTGCTTATGGAGCCCACTACAACAAGATAATCATAAGAGATTGTTTTTCTTTAGATTCCTTGATTGATAGAACCAGGGGTTAGAATCTGTCTCAAAGATGGGATAATAAGGTCAAATTCTATCTGCCCATACTTCAGACCATGGCACATGATTACTTAGCAAATATATTGTTTATTCCTCCCTGGAGAGCAATATATTCTAAATACTGTAAACAAAGCAAATAAGATTTTATATCATGAATTAATAAAGAATGAATATTAATAATACTGTAAAATTTAAATACTAATGAATCAATCACAGTTACATAAAAATGGAAATTTCTTACGTGCCCATTGAGTTGATTTAAGTTAATCAGAATGCTTCACAAATGTATGCATAAGTTAATATTAATGATGCAGAATGTCTAGATTTAGCTTTTATAGAAAATAAATTTCTTCTCACAGATCACCAGCATGAGTAAACATGGACCACAAGCAATGCTCTGGAACTATGCAGACGTTCAAAAAAGAAATTTCG